CCTCCTGTTGCTGCTCCACATCAGATGTGCCCAGTGTTTCATCGCAGGACAGTGTCCCTAAGGTTGCAGGCTGACTCCCCTCCCGCCCGCGTTCCCTCCTTTTCGGTACCCAACGCTTCTCTAAAACGCAGCCATAACTCTTCTCACCCAGCAACTCGAGGTTCATCCCTGCGGACTATGCCCGCCTGGTCTTAGCTCCGGCAACAACGCCTTCTCCCCGGCCGGCTTCAGCAACTTGCGTCTAAGTGGTGGGCGCCGCGAGCAGCCTGGCGCAAGCTCCGGAGACTTTCGGACTTAGAAGGCCCCGCGGCTTCCGCTTTCTTCCCCCGCCTTCCTTGTTCGTTTCGGGTGGGCTGCCCAAATATATGCCTGACCAAGAGCAAGCGTAAACTCCTTCGGAAACAATTAATTATTATCTTTGCTGGGGTACAAAAATGTTATTGTCACTAGTGATTTTAAATAGCGCGAGAATTTAAGGCTATTTGCTCCGAGAACATGTAGGTGAGCTAGAAATTCCAGGCATACCGTTAACCTACTTACTAGCCCTTGCTGTGTTGTGTGTTCAGCGGGGTTGTCCGGGCGGGCTACCTCAGACTCAGCAGGAAAGGTTCCGGTCCTGTCCTCCCAACGCAGGAAAGCAGGGAGGTCGTCCCCTAGTGCTCGGGTGTATAGCGCCGCTGACTTCATCAAGGCGCGTCCTTACCCTGTGTGTAGGAGGCGTTGCAAGGTGTTTCAGTCTCGTGAAAATTATTTCTCATTTCTAAAGATACGCCATTGATCCTACCGAAAGGTACGATAACATATGCTGGCCTGTTTATGTTAGGATAACAAAAACCTTATTACGTAAGGTTTTACCGTTTACCCAGCGTTGACCGGGACGCTGGTGAAAAATAATTCGAATGAGGGGTGGACTGAGTTTCCCGGAGCTCAGTCATACAGAACTCCGATGAGATACCCAAAGCAATTAAGAGAAGTTCAGTTGATGGTATCTAGCGAAAGAGCAAATTTTATATGAACACATTCCTACTATAAATGCTGTGGCTCATCAGAAAACGGAAAAGAACGGCAGAGGCTCGCTGCAGAAAACAGTACTCGGGCTAGGGCTCCGACAATGGAAAAATACACATACACAAGGTTATTAATTGCAGTATTGTCTGTAATTCCAAACTTCTGGAAACAATAATGAAACTTTTGAACAAGGGAGCCCAGCATTTTCATTTTGCACAGGGCTCTGCAAATTATGTAGCTAGTCCAGTCCGCCTCTGTTTGACAAATTTGCAGAAAGAGAAGCCTCATTCACACAGTGCACCCTGTCCTCGGGCCCCAATTGATTGCTCTTTCAGTAAGCCCCTGACCTAAGCTGAACCCAATTAAATTCCTTTCCCAAGAATCTGGAATGGGAATTAAGTGGCCCCCACAGTCTGACACATCAATCGAAGAGAATAAGTGTGAATTAATGAGCTATTTATTGTCTCCTAATAATAGATGGACACCATGGTAGTTGGCTGCAGGTTGCAGAAGGAAGCAGAGGTCCAGAAACAAGTAAAAGATAATAGTTTGGGTATCCAACTGTTTCCCAAAAACATGCTACATTAATGTCTTCTCGTTCCATTATCCTTGGACTTTTATAAAGTATGCCTTTTGTGGTCTGGCGCGGGGGCTCACGCCTGTAATCCCTCAGCCTCCCAAAGTGCTGGAATTACAGGCATGAACCACTGTGCCCAGCCCTGAAAGTTTTTTTTAACCTGGTGAAAATACACTTTGGCATAAATACTAAAAATACAAAAAAAACCTACAAAAATTAGCCAGGCATGGTGGTACATGTCTGTAATCTCAGCTACTCAGGAGGCTGAGGCAGGAGAACCGCTTGAACTGGGAAGGCAAAGGTTGCGGTGAGCCAAGATCGTGTCACTGCACTCCAGCCTGGGAGACAAGAGCAAAACTCCATCTCAAATAAATAAATAAATTAAATAAATAAACTGTTTTACAACTTGTCCAATGAAGCAAGTATTAATACTTTTATCACTAAACATGCACTAGAAATGACAATTGAATAAAATTCTTCTAGGAAGGTTTAAATGACCTATCAGGTAGCAGAAATGTCCTTGAAGTTATGTTCATCTTCCCAGGATTATGGGTTTGACAAACCAAACATTGCTAATAAACTCTTAGTAATTTAGAACAGTCATCACACACACCCACTCACGCACATACATACACACACATTTAATTTGGACCATTTATCTCTTTCATGACTCATGGAAAGCTTAATAATGGAAGCTTTAAGGAATTCTCCCACCTCAGCCTCCCAAGTAGCTGGGACTACAGACATGCACCACTATGCCCAGCTAATTTTTGTAATTTTTGCAGAGACAAGATTTCCCCATGTTGCCCAGGTAGACATCAACCTCTTGGACTCAAGAAATCTGCCTGCCTTGGCCTCTGAAAGTACTGGGATTACAGGAATGGGGCACTGCACCTGGCCTTCAATTAATTTTTGTCCTGTTTGGGTTAGCAACTTTATAAACCATTCATTCATTTTGTTAGAGTTCTGTTCTGAGAATTCTTACCTAATCCAAATGATATGATCCTAAAGTTATCAAAAAGCTGTAGGCAGCTTTTTCTCAAGATCATGGATCAAGATTTACTATCATGAGACTCTTATCTCTCAAATTTTTTGCTTATGCCTGTATGAACAATAGAACTGAAAAAGAGATCTCATGTCTGTACCCATGGGGTATGCTTTTATTTGAAGAGGATTTTGCAGCCATTCTTATAATTGGACAATATTACACTTTGATAGATAGAAGATAAAAGGCCAGCGTTAGAGGAAAAAGAAAATTCTCAGAAGCACTTAATTATCCTTCTTTTTTTTTTTTGAGACAGTGTCTTAATCTGTCACCCAGGCTGGAGTGCAGTGGTGCTATCATGGTTCACTACAGCCTCTACCTCCTGGGTTCTGGCCATCCTTCCACTTCAGCCTCCCAAGTAGCTGAGACTACAGGCGTGTACCACCATGCCTGGTTAATTTTTGTATCTTTTGTAGAGACAGGGTTTCGCTATGCTGCCTACGCTAGTCTCAAACTCCTGGACTCAAGCAATCTGCCTGCCTTGGCCTCCCAGAGTCCTAGGATTACAGGCATGAGCCACTGCACCTGGCCTTAATTTATCTGGAGCTAGAACAAAAGACGTTTAGCTAGGAGGGAAAGGAAAATGGGAATATCTTGAGCTTCTCTCCAATTCATTAATATCTTAAGGGAATGCCTCATCAATTCTTTGAACATAAGCTTCTTGAAGGCAAGGAGCCTACTCCGTTTTGTTTCCAGTGTTGTAGATTAGTGCTTGGCACACTGTACATGCTCAATAAATAATTGTTGATTGGCTGGGTGTGGTGGTTCACGCCTGTAATCCCAGCACTTTGGGAGGCCGAGGCAGGCAGATCACCTGAGGTCAGAAGTTCAAGACCAGCCTGGCCAACATGGTGAAACCCTGTCTCTACTAAAAATACAAAAATTTTCCCCAGGCATGGTGGTACCCATCTGTAGTCCCAGCTACTCGGGAGGCTGAGGCAGGAGATTCGCTTGAGCCCATGAGGCGGAGGTTGCAGTGAGCTGAGACCGTGCCACTGCACTCTAGCCTGGGTGACAGAGCAAAACTCTATCTCAAAAAAAAAAATTGAGTTTTAGGCCGGGTGCGGTGGCTCATGCCTGTAATCCCAGCACTTTGGGAGGCCAAGGCGGGTGGATCACAAGGTCAGGAGTTTGAGACCATCCCAGCCAACATGGTGAAACCCCATCTCTACAAAAAAATAATAATGAGTTTTGGAGTGCTCCCTTAAATTTTGCATGCCAAACAAGTGCCTCACTTGCCCCATGACAGAGACCTCAGACAACCTCACAAAAAGCACCAGAGGAGGAACAGTCCTGAGTCAGACCAAATTAAGGTCAGAGGGCCAGGCCTTTGTACCCGTGAATGACTAGCCATTGGACATAAACTGGTTTTGGCAAGGAAGCAACACCTTGTGAGAGCCAGCTCTTGTCTGCTGAAGGCAATTTGTGGAGAGGAACTTGGCTGTGAGCTATCAGCATTCAACACTTCTTCCAGCTGAGAGACATACCTGACAGCTTGGTCCTCAATGGGCAATATGGGAGGCACAACAACCTTTTAGTTCTGCTATTATTGTTTCTTTTTTCTTTCTCTTTTCTTTTTTCTTCTCTTCTCTTCTCTTTTCTTTTCTTTCTTTTTTTTTTTTTTTTTGGAGACAGAGACTCGCTGTTGCCCAGGCTGAAGTGCAGTGGCACGATCTCGGCTCACTGCAACTTCTGCCTCCCAGTTCAAGCCGTTCTCCTGCCTCAGCCTCCCGAGTAGCTGAGATTATAGTTACACGCCCATCTTGCCCGGCTAATTTTTGTATTTTTAGTAGAGATGGGGTTTCACCATGTTGGCCAGGCTGGTCTCAAACGCCTGACCTCAGGTGCTGGGATTACAGGCATGAGCCACCACACCCAGCCCTGCCATGATTATTAATAAAGGCACTTAATGCTATGAGTTTTGCTTAGAGTGTAATTTGTATGAGTTTCATAGATGGTTGGTACAAAGTATATTGATATAAAATGTGTTTTCCTTTATATTCCAAAGACAGTGACATTTCAGTTTTTATTTCCTCTTTGAAACAGAGGTTATTTAGGACAGTGTGGTTATGGAGGAAAAGGAGTGTTAATGTTTTCAGCCAGGCATGGTGGCTCACACCTGTATTCCCAGCTGAGGTAGAAGGATCCTTTGAGGTCAGGAGTTCAAGACCAGCCTGGGTGACAGAGCCAGCCCTCATAACTAAAAATAATATAATAATGTTTTCAGTATTAACGTTTTTGTTTGAGACAGGCAGGCTGGAGTGTCGTGGCTGTTCACAGGTGCACTCATAGCTCACTACAGCCTCAAACTCCTGGACTCAAGTGACCCTCTTGCCTCCTGAGTAGCTGGGATTACAGGTATGTACCACCCTATTTATGATTTCTTTTTTTTTTTCTTTTTCTGAGCTAGAGTCTTGCTCTGTTGCCCAGGCTGGAGTGCAGTGGTGCAATCTCAGCTTACTGCACCTCTGCCTCCCAGGTTGAAGCAATTCTCCTCCCTCAGCCTCCCAAGTAGCTGGGATTATAGGCGCCTGCCACCATGCCCAGCTAGTTTTTTATTTTTAGTAAAGACAGGGTTTTACCATCTTGGCCAGGATGGTCTTGAACTCCTGACCTCGTGATCCACCTGCCTCGGTCTCCCAAAGTGTTGGGATTACAGGCATGAGCCACTGCACCCTGCCAACATAATTGTCTTTAAACAACAACAACAGAAGCTGGGATATGAGGTCCTATGGACCACAGTTTTACAGCCTACTGAGGTATCAGATGACCTTTCTGAAACCCCAATGCAGCCAGTTACTTATTCCAACTTTTATCCTATAAAAGGCCTTTTCTACCCTGCAGACTGGTGAGCCTATGCCAAGGAACACGGCGCTTAGGCTGCAGATTGTGAGGGTAAGCACCACCCCCTCAGGTGTCTTAGACAAGAGGGGAGTTGGTATTTAGGATCAATGAGGGTAAAGGGCTGTTGATTAATGTAGGAAGGTGGCTCAAAAGACATCTCAGTTTAGAACCCCAGGCTGACTGTTTCTCATTCTTACCCTTTTTCCCTTTCCTGGGCAGGTCCTTGGATCTCTGACCCCCTAGGTGAAGTGGAGACAGCCCAAGGGCAGCACCCTCTGGCCCACATGCTTCCCAAATGCTGCCATTTCGTCTGCACCAAGAAGCGTAAGTGGGGGTCCAGGCCATGGGGAAAGGGACCCTGTCTTAAATTAGCTCCACTGCTACAGTACCATAGAGTGGCTGACTGAAACAACAGAAATTCTCTCTCTCAGTTCTAGAGTCTGGAAGTCCAGGATCAAGGTGCCGATAGATTCAGTGTCTGCTGTGGGCCTACCTCCTAGTTCACAGACAGCCTCCTCCCTGCTGTACCACACGGTCCATCTGCTTTTCAGTCTACAGCTTGCCTGAGGTCTTCTTGAGCGACTAGAACAGAGAGTAAAAGGCTGAGGGACCTGCTCTGCTCTTATGTTCCAGGAAGAATGGGGTTCAAGTGCTTGTTCTCATGGTCTAGTAACAAGATGCAGACAGACTGGGGGAGGGGTTAGTTAGTTCGTTATTTCAGATGGAGTCTCCCTCTGTCGCCAAGGCTGGAGTGCGGTGGCACAATCTCAGCTCACTGCAACCTCTGCCTCCTGGATTCAAGTTTTCCCCTGCTTCAGGCTCCGGAGCAGCTGGAATTATAGGCATGCGCCACCATGCCCAGCTAATTTTTGTAGTTTTAGTAGAGACACAGTTTCACCATGTTGGCCGGGCTGGTCCTACCTGGCCTTTGGAAGGCCAAGGTAGGTGGATCACCTGAGGTCAGGAGTTTGAGACCAGCCTGGCCAACATGGCCCATCTCTACTAAAAATACAAAAATTAGCCAGACATGGTGGTGCGGGCCTGTAATCCCAGCTACTTGGGAGGTTGAGGCAGGAGAATTGCTTGAACCCAGGAGGCAGCAGTTGCAGTGAGCTGAGATCCCACCACTGCACTCCGGCCTGGGTGACAGAGCAAGACTCCGTCTTAAAAAAAAATTCGTTATTATTCTACCAGACATTAGTAACTAACTAAGAAAGCCCAGGCGGGGTCATAATGTGTTTGTTCTCTCATTCTAGCCTGTAAGGTCTGAACACGCCATGAACAGCATGGTAATCCCTGTGACCTGCCGGTACACCCCAGATGAGTTCCTGGAAGAAACGATCAACCCCTGCACTGCCTAACTAACCTGACACATTCTTCTATTGTTTCTTATTCCGGCCTCCATTGACAAGGCAATTGGACTTTAACTGACCTTGGCCAACCTGGTGACTCTACACCCAAGGACCCCCTCCCAGCTTGCAAAAAACCACCAACTGTAAAGACTTATGTAACTTTCCACTGCCCATCCCAAACCTATAAAATCAACTCCTATCCCACCACGCTTCGCTGCTATCCTTTTCGGCCTCAGCCTTCCTGTACCCAGGTGAATAAACAGCCATGTTGCTCACACAAAGCCTCTTTGGGGGTGTCTTCATTCAGAGCATGTGTGCACCAGTTTCTTCAGTTCTTTAATGTCTAACGTATGCCTTCATCAAAATTACAGTAAAGGCTTATTGGAAACTTGGCTGCTCTGGCCACTAATGGAAACCTGGCCTGCCACACTAGGACCCAAGGGACATCATGTGGTGACAGGGCCACTGGGCCCTGCAGGAGAGTCTCACGGAGTGGGGAGATGACTGCCTAACCTGACCCACTAGGCTCTAGGCCCCCACGGGGTAGGGAAGGGCAGAACAAAGAAAAGAGAGACACAGCCTCCGGCCTGGGCGCTCCCACTCTGGAAATAGAGACACACCATATGTGTTAGTTTATTAGAAATACCACAAGCCATGTTGTTTAAACCACAGAGATTTTATTTTCTCACAGTTCTAAAGGCCAGGATCACAAGGTCAAGGTGCTGGCAATTTTGATTTCTCCTGAGGTCTCCCTCCTTGGGTTGCAGATGGCCGCTTTCTCAATGTGTCCTTCTGTGGCCTTTTCTCTGTGCAAATGTGCACCCCTGGTGTCTCTCCGTGCATGCTGGTCTCCACTTCTAATAAGGACACCAGTTATATTGGATTAGGGCCCACTCTAACAGCCTCCTTTTATCATATTTAGCCCTTTATTTAATTTTTAATTTTAATTTTTTTGTGATGGGGTTTCACTTTCGTTGCCCAGGCTGATGTGCAGTGGTGTGATCTCGGCTCACTGCAACCTCTGCCTCCTGGGTTCAAGCGATTCTCCTGCCTCAGCCTCCCCAGTAGCTGGGATTACAAGCCTGTGCCACCACTCCTGGCTAATTTTTTTGTATTTTTACTAGAGATGTGGTTTCCCATGTTGGCCAGGCTGGTCTTGAACACCTGACCTCAGATGATCTGCCTGCCTTGGCCTCCCAAAGTGCTGGGGTTACAGGTGTGAGCCACTGTACCCAGCCTTTTTTTGTAGTTTTAGTAGAGATGGGGTTCCCCATGTTGACCGGGCTGGTCTCGAACTCCAGTCCTGAGGTGATCCACCCACCTCAGCCTCCCAAAGTGCTGGGACTATAGGCATGAGCGTATTTCCCTTTTTAAAGGCCCTATCTCTAAATATAGTCCCATTCTGAGGTACTAGGAGTTAGGGCCTCCACATGAGGTAAGCACAGTTCAGTCTATAACACCACACAGTGTGAGGAAATTGAGGATACTAAGGTATGGGCACACAGAGGTGGCACAGTGACCTGTCCTGTGAAAGCATAGGCTGTGGTGTTTCAACTGGGGCTTGCAGCAGGAATAAAGAAAACCTAGGAAAAGAGGGTGGGCTCCCCCAGCTTCAGGAGCATCACCACGATGAGAGTGAGGCAGCAGGACCAGTACTGCCCCAACTAGTGCCAGGGCCCCGGGCCCCGGCTCTACAGCTCCCCTGGGGCCAACCCCCTGAAATGTGGGAGAACCACCCAGCCCAAGGCAGAAGCTTATGCCTGGGCTTAGGCTACATGCAAAGAGCAGAGAGAAACACTGCCCTGCCCCCAGCTGCCTTCCACACAGTGAGGAGCCACTTGGGGCAGAGAGGAGAAGGAAAGGGATTGGAGAAGGGCCTTGAGAACTGCAGAGCTCTCAGCACACAGACTGCATCTAAATCTTCACCCAAAGAGAAGACCAAAGGCTGGCATGGCTTCGGGCAGCCTAAAGTTGTGTCCTTAGGATGAGCCCAGTGCCCCATTAAATTGCCCGTTGAGAAAGCTCAAGGCTGCCAAGAGAATTGACTGTTCAGGGGACACCTGACCATAGGCTCCAGACCTCCCTTTCTTAGAGGACTGGCCAAAAAGACTTACAGTTACAAATCCTTCCTCTGTCCCTTTGAGACATATATGTATCTCTGACAGCTCAGGAGTCTTCTCAAACACCTGAAAGCCTTTCCTTTGAAAGGTAATCGTGGAAGGACGGGGCTTTCCAGTCTCTGTGGGAGGACAGAATCCTAACTGCGATAACTACCACTAACAGACACAGCTGGTCTAGTTGCATTGACAATGCCCAACTCTTTCTAATTTTTCACCCCTTTGCTTGAGCATTTGCCTCCCTCCCTCATTCTCCCTTTTATTTTTTTATTTTATTATTATTTGTTTTTGAGACGGAGTTTCGCTCTTGTTACCCAGGCTGGAGTGCAATGGCGATCTCGGCTCACCGCAACCTCTGCCTCCTGGGTTCAGGCAATTCTCCTGCCTCAGCCTCCTAAGTAGCTGGGATTACAGGCACACGCCACCATGCCCAGCCAATTTTTTTGTATTTTTTAGTAGAGATGGGGTTTCACCATGTTGACCAGGATGGTCTCGATCTCTTGACCTCGTGTGATCCCCCCTCTCGGCCTCCCAAAGTGCTGGGATTACAGGCTTGAGCCACCGCGCCTGGCCCATTCTCCCTTTTAAACATTGAGATCACCTCCGCCTAAGTCGGAATGGAACTTATCCTTTCCCCTACCGCCAGTAGGCACTGAATAAAATCTGTTTTCACCATTCTGGTTTTTTTTTTGAGATGGAGTTTCGCTCTCGTTACCCAGGCTGGAGTGTAATGGCGCGACCTCAGCTCACCGCAGCCTCCGCCTCCTGGGTTCATGCAATTCTCCTGCCTCAGCCTCCCAAGTAGCTGGGACTATTTTTAGTAGAGACAATGGGGTTTCACCATGTTGGCCAGGATGGTCTCGATCTCTTGACCTCGTGATCCGCTGGCCTTGGCCTCCCTAAGTCCTGGGATTACAGGTGTGAACTACCATGCCCGGCTAAGATTTTTTTTAAAAATTCTGCTTCTTTATTAAAAATTTTTGCCATGTTTATAATAAAATACTGAGAGAATCTTTGATGTGTGTGCCAAGATACCAGAAACTCTGATGTGCTTACCAATCCTCCAGCCTAGTGCTGGTGTTTGAATCTTCCTTCCTAGGTGGAGAATCTACACGTAGACATGTATATGCTCTCAGTTCTTCATGTCATTTGATTTGGCTTCTGTTCTTATACTGTTGAAGGTGCTGCAGTTGTCAGCTGTGGTTTTCCTTTCTTTGTGATAATCCTATTTTAATGTATAAGATCCTTTCAGGCAACTGAAGTATGCAAAAGGCAGGTAGAATAGCAGCAATTTTAGATATTTATAGATTCATGTAATAAATACGATGGATTTGGATTATTTGCTGCATTGCCAGTGAGTTTATTATAGTATATAACAATATTTAATCCAAATGGTGATAGAAATAAAAGGCCCACTTTGAGGTAAATCATTAATTTTTAAGGCATACAAGTTATGTTTTAAAGAATTTCTCAAGCTGAAGAATATTCAGTGTACACTCTGTGCTTGAAAAGTCTTAACACATAATCCACCAAGACCAAATTAATTTTATCTTCAAAGGTAAGACTGGGGCAAGTTTCACTTAAATTTTTTGATATTATTAAATGGTTCTGTCAAGCATTGAAAATAAAGGAAGAGAATGCTTATTGTCATTACATTTTAAGTGAAAAGATATAGCATTATAATTTTGCTCACAAGTGTTTCCATGTTGTAGCAATTTTCTACTATGCTGTAACTGCTTATTTGACTCCACTCTTTTTCTCTCCCCTGCTACAGCAATCCTAGTTCCACTGGATATTTTTGAGTGATTAAATGTATTACTCACTTCTTTTTGTATTCATTTATTTTAATAGAAAATGCATCAGATGCAGATTTATGGCTCCTGAACAGTTGCACTGTAAAAAAACCCAGCTGAAGACCACTTTAGAAACTCAATTAAGTAAGTAGAAATTGATTTTTTCCCTATTTTTTATAATCAAAGTGAGAATTAATACCAAAAAGCTTTTTTAAAAGGTCAATATAGATATTTAGTCGATATCAAAAAAGTATGAGTTGGACTTTTAAGATTATGCTGTTTTGAATTTGATAAAGAATAATACTTGTTATTTTTAAATTAAGTTTAATGTAAGTTCTGGGGTATGTGTACAGTATGTGCAAGTTTGTTACATAGGCAAACATGTGCCGTGGTGGTTTGCTGCCCCCATCAACCCATAACCTAGGTGTTAAGCCCGTATGCGTTAGCTATTTGTCCTGGTGTTCTCCCTCCCCTGTCCTCCACAGGCTCGAGTGTGTGTTGTTTCCCTCCCTGTGTTCCTGTATTCTCATTATTCAGCTTCCACTTGCAAGTGGGAACATGCAGTGTTTGGTTTTCTGTTCCTGTGTTAGTTTGCTGAGGATAACGGCTTCCAGCTCCTTCTCTGTCCTTGCAAAGGACGTGATCTCATTTCTTTTTGTGGCTGCATAGTCTTCCATAGTGTATATGCACCACAGTTCTTTATCCGGTCTGTCACTGATGGGCATTTGGGTTGATTCCACGTATTTGCTATTGTGAATAGTGCTGCAGTGAATATATGTGTGCATGTATCTTTTTAATAGAATGATTTGTATTCCTTTGGGGATATACCCAGTAATGGGATTGCTAGATCAAATGGCATGTCTGGTTCTGGGTGTTTGAGAAATCACCACACCGTCTTCCACAATGGTTGAACTAATTCACATTCACACCAACAGTATAAAAGTGTTTCTGATTCTCCATAGCCTCACCAGCATCTGTTGTTTCTTGCTTTTTAATAGTTGCCATTCTGACTGGTGTGAGATGGTATCTCTTTGGTGGTTTTGGCTTGCATTTCTCTAATGATCAATGATGTTGAATGTTTTTTCATGTTTTTTGTCCACATAAATGTCTTTTGAGAAGTGTCCATGTCCTTTGCCCACTTTTTAATGGGTTTTTTTTTTTCTGATCAATTTGTTTAAATTCCTGGTAGATTCTGAATATTAGACCTTTGTCACGTGGATAGATTACAAACATTTCCTCCCATTCTATAGGTTGTTTGTTCACTCTGATGAGAGTTTCTTTTGCTGTGCAGAAGCTCTTTAGTTTAATTAGATCCAATTTGTCAATTTTTGCTTTTGTTGAAATTGTTTTGATGTTTTCATCATGAAACCTTTGCCTATGCCTATGTCCTGAATGGTATTGTGTAGGTTTTCTTCTAGGGGTTTTGAGGTTTTGGGCTTTACATTTCAGTCTTTAATAAGGCTTGAGTTAATTTTTGTGTAAGATGTAAGGAAGGGGTCCAGTTTCAATTTTCTGCATATGACTAGCCAGTTTTCCTAGCACCATTTATCAAGTAGGGAATTCTTTCCCCATTGCTTGTTTTTGTCAGGTTTGTCAAAGATCAGATGGTTGGAGATGTGCGGTCTTATTACGTGCATTCTCTATTCTGTTTCCTTAGTGTATATGTCTGTTTTTATACCAGTCCCATGCTGTTTTGATTACAGTAGCCTTGTAGTATAGTTTGAAGTTGGGTAGCATGATGTCTCAGTTTTGTTCTTTTTGCTTAGGATTGTCTTGGCTATGTGCGCTCTTTTTTGGTTTCATGTGAATTTTAAAGTAGGTTTTTTTTCCCTAGCTTATGAAGAATGTCAATGATAGTTTAATGGAAATAGTATTAAATCTATAAATTACTTTAGGCAGTATGGCCATTTTCACAATATTGATTCTTCCTATCCATGAGCATGGAGTGTTTTACCATTTGTCTGTTTCCTCTCTTATTTCCTTGAGCAGTGGTTCATAGTTCATGTAGAGGTCCTTCACTTCCCTTGTTAGCTGTTTTTCTAGGTATTTCATTTTCTTTGTCGCAGTTGTAATTGGGCATTCACTCACAATTTCGCTCTCAGTTTGTCTATTGTTGGTGTATAGGAATGCTTGTGATTTTTGCACATTGATTTTGTATCCTGAGACTTTGCTGAAGTTGCCTATTAGGCTAAAAAGTTTTTGGGCTGAGACAACGGGGTTTTTTAGAAATAGGATCATGTCATCTGCAAACAGAGACAGTTTGACTTCCTCTCTTTTTATTTGAATATGCTTTACTTTTTTCTCTTTCCTGATTGTCCTGGCCAGAACTTCCAATACTATGTTGAATAGGAGTGGTGAGAGAGGGCATGCTGGCCTTGTGCCTGTTTTCAAGGTGAATGCTTCCAGCTTTTGCTCAGTCAGTATGATATGGGCTGTGGGTTTGGCATAAATGGTTCTTATTATTTTGAGGTCGGTTTCATCAATACCTAGTTTATTGAGAGTTTTTAACATGAAGGGATGTTGAATTTTATTGAAGACCTTTTCTGCGTCTATTGAGAAAATTGTGTGTTTTTTTTCTTTAGTTCTGTTTATGTGATGAATCGCATTTATTGATTTGTGTATGTTAAACCTGGCTTGCATCCGGCGATGAAGCTGACCTGATCATGGTGGGTAAGCTTTTTGATAGACTGCTGGATTGTTTGCCAGTATTTTATTGAAGATTTGTGCGTTGATGTTCATCATGGATATTGGCCTGAAGTTTTCTTTTCTTTTCTTTTTTTTTTTTTTTTGGTATCTTTGCCAGGTTTTGGTATCAGGATGATGCTGGCCTCATAAAATGAGTCAGGGAGAAGTCCCTTCTTTTCATTTGTTTGGAATAGTTTCAGAAGAATGACTTTTTGAAGGGTTTTTTGTACGTCTGTCTCCTTAAGAATGATACTTTAATGGGAACTTTTCTAATAAGTGATTTCAGTATTTGTGAAGTTAGCTAATAGGTGATTTTCGAGTATTTGTTAAGTATTAACTATGTGTTCTTCTCGGAGAATCAATGCATACTTTGTGAAATTGACTGACACAGTCCTTGCCTCTTTCCCTGCCCATCAGCACTGTTCTACGTGCCGCAGTCCCTGGCTTTCTAGGGAATTGCAGGTTGTTGATGGAGGTGGGCATATTAAGCCCTTGCTTCTTGCTTTGTTCCTTCAAGTTAATGTGGAAGAAGTATCCCTTTTCCACATTTTCTCTGAATCTTATCCCTCTTAGAAACCTCCTTTTAGAAATTATGTCCTCATTCCATAATTCCAGCCTCTGCAGCTCACCTGGTGCTTTAAACATGCCTGGTTCTGATCAGCCCCCTGTATCCCTGTTAGCCATTGTCCTACATTTTTTCTTGCCTTCCCAGCCAGACTTTAAAAATTTTTTTACTTCTTCATTTTATTCTCATACTCATTCTTCTTCCCCTTAATTGGTTTCATTGTGAAATATATTAAACATACATTAGCATTTATAAAACACATATAGTTTAAAAAATAATAAACACTTAAACATCTGCCACCCAGTGTAAGAAATATAACGTTGTCAAGACTGTAGAAACTGCCGTGTTTTCATTCATAACTCCCAAGAAGTAACCTTTATCTCGACTTTTGTGAGTCATTTCCTTACTTTTATTAGTTAATGTATCGTCTATTAAGTATGTCTCTAAACGGTGTGTTGTCTTGTTTAGCCCTATTTTGAACTTGATCTGTTCAACTCATAATGTTTGTGTTTTTCTGAGATTTACTTCTTTTTCTCAGCATTATACTTTGAGATTTATTCATGTTAATGGGTGTAAGATAACTTTGGTCATTCATATAATTTGCCACAATTTATTTGTTTTATTACTGGTAGAGTTTTGAATTTTTCCCAGTATTTTACTTTGATGAACATTCCTGCTATGAATATTTTAAACATGTTTTCTGGTGCACATGTGTAAGATTTATTCTAGAATATGAACCTGGGAGTTGAATTATTGGGTAGCATATCTGTGTATATTCAAACTTTATTAGGTAATGCCAATTTCTTTTCACAAATGGATGTGGTAGTGTGCTTTCCCACCAGTAATGGATGTGTGTATTTGTTGTTTTCTGGTTTTGCCAGTACTTGATATGGCCAGACTTAAGTTTTTGCAAGTCTGTTGATGATGATGACATTTTGTTTTGGTTTTAGTTTGCATTCCTTTTTTTTTCTTTTCAGACAGGCTCTCACTCTGTTGCTCAGGCTGGAATGCAGTGGTAGGATCTCAGCTCACTGCAACCTCTGTCTCTCGTGTTCAAAGGATTCTCCTGCCTCAGCCTCCTGGGTAGCTGGGATCACAGGTATGCACCACCACACCCAGCTGGTTTTTTTTTTTTTTGGAGAGGGAGTCCTGCTCTGTTGCCAGGCTGCAGTGTAGTGGCGTGATCTTGGCTCACTGCACCCTCTGACTCTTTGGTTCAAGCGATTCTCCTACCTCAGCCTCCTGAGTAGCTGGGATTACAGGTGCTAGACACCAGGTCCAGCTAATTTTCATATTTTTAGGAGAGATGGGGTTTCACCATGTTGGCCAGGATGGTCTCAATCTCCTGACCTTGTGATCTGTCCACCTTGGCCTCCCAAAGTTCTGGGATTACAGGCGTGAGCCACCGCGCTTGGCCTTAATTCCATTTCTATGATCATTAATGAAATGGAGCTTTGTAGAATAAATCTATAGGCTCTTTGGATTTTACTTTTTTGTAAAATGGCATCTCAAGTCATTTGTTTATTTTTCTGTTTTCTTCCCCATTTTAATTTTTTATTTGTGTCCATATATTATGTGTCTTACATATCCTAATCCTTACATATTAGACACGTTGCAAATATCTTCTCCCAATTGTGGCTTATCTTTTCACTTTATTTTGTGATGTCTTTTAAGATAAATGCTGATTTAAAATTTATTAATCTGTTGTTTTTGGTTTGTGTTCTTATTGTTTAAGAAGTCTTTTCTTACTCTGAAGCTATTAAGATATTCTCCTATATTTTCTTCTAAAAGTTTCATGATTTGACCTTTTACATTTAGGTCTACAATTCATCTGGAGTTGATTATTATTTTTGGTATGGTACCAGAAGGGGTCCAATTTTACTTTATGTTTTTC